TTATCGTAACCCAACGACTTTCTACACGGTTTCTAAGAAAACATGTATAGATCTAACGGCATGACCTTCAGGGAACAACTGCCCAGTAAATCAGGCACTCTCTCTATTGAAATGTTTTTAACGGAAGTACAATGAAATAATTCGCTCAGCAGGTTCGAAAATTAGAAAGCCGATTGTCTAGCATGAAACAATAGCGAAAGAAAGACTATTAGAAGCGTATGTGTGCTAATGACCCTAAATTGTCTTTAAAGCGGGCGGATATTCTGATGGAAATTCCGGCGGAAGGTCTAAGCTGCTTACACCGATATAAATCTCAAGTAAAAATACCAGTTTCCTAACAAATCGTCGACATTCTCAAAGGACAACTAAGTTCCAATCGAACAGAGCTAATCGAACAATGAAGAACTATCAGGTTACGATCCTATAGACATATTTACTATCCTTAATATTGATCATACTATTAAAATTATCAGCAAACGTTCAAAGATAACTCATTAAAAGAATGCACTGGTCTGTCACATAATTATTTCATGAAGTTAGTAACATTCCATATTTTACAGGTGAATTATTTCTTTTTTATAGGGGGTTCTCCAAAAAATACCAAAGGACCACTAAAATGTAATCAACTTCCCCTCAGCTTTGCAAAACTTTTCACGGAGAACTTTGAAAATCTGGTCTCACAGACCAACTGGATTGTTACATTTTGACTAACCGCTTTCAAGTCGTTATTTCGATTAAGATCCAATATTTCTAAAGAAACAGAATATAAAAGGAATCAAATATAACTTAAAAATAAGTTATATATTTAACATTTAATCCACAAAACGGGCAACGTTTTTACGTTTTTCAACGCCGACCTGAGAAGCACTGATGGTTGCCACTGAAGAGTTTTAAGAATTCGCGCGCCGTTTCTGATATGTTGGAGCAAACGATTTTCACAAGTTTCTGTATAAAATTCTGTGGATTATCGCCCACCTTCAGTTCCCGAATCGCGTGCTTCATAGTGGCAGCTCGGTTTTTCAAGTATAAGTCGCAAGCCTGAAAGTAAGCCGTAAAAAATACAAGCAATATGAAGTCATGTTCTATTCGTACCTGAGACGCTTTGCCAAGTCTGACCAGCAACATCACTGCCTTCCTGGTGGACTTCGGACCCCCTTGAAGGTACTTGTCAGACAGTATTTTCAGTTCTTTGCAGAGTTTGTCAGTCAGCTGATCCTGCTTCAGGTCAAGCTTTTCTTTGACCTCTTGGACTAATGCGGCATCGCTGCATTCGTTCAAGTAATCTCTTCCTAAACAGAAAATTTCCCTCGTAATCGATAGCAGAATTTTAATCGTATACGTGCCTTCGAACAGGAGATCGACCGCTGCGTCGAAATCTCGCTGCGCTATACAGACATCAAGTTCATCCGGAAGTTCTCTAACCCAATCAGCCTCTTCTGCCGAATTTTGCTTCGTCGGAGGTTCTGTTTTTGACCCTTTAACAAAATTCAGAAAAATATCTTTATAAGTTTATATCGAGTTCTCACGGCGATAGAAATTATTAGCATCTGAGAAAACTACAAAACCAAAATCCAAGGCATATGTTTAGTCTCATAAATTGTTAAGTCGTTAAACAGACCACATTAATTAATCTAAAACGGTTAGAAAAACTTACCAAGTGCCAGCTGGGAGTTCTACTGTTGATCTCATGTGAAAAAAAGTAAATTTCCCAACCACTGGGTTTCCTGCCTGAATACAGCGAAGGAAAATTGGAGAGATATTAACCATTACAGTGTCGATCTTCCCTGTGCTTCCATCATTCACGACTTTTGCCACGGAGCTTTTGGTGCGAAGTTGAATTCTATTTCCACCACACGAACCAATGGCATCTATTTTTTTAAAGTAACCTCTATTACTTAGGAGTCACTGCAACGTGTA